AGGAGTAGAGCGTCGATGCCAACGCCAAGGCAGGAAACACGACCAACCACCAATAGATCTTCACCGGCGTGATCACACGGAGACCTTCTTCCGCAAGCACACCCCAGCTAACCGCAGGGGCTTCGACACCAAGTCCCAGGAACGACAGTAACGCCTCAAAGAGCATCACCGCAGGAATCGTCAGCGTCAGATAAACGATGACGATACTCATTACGTTCGGCACCAGATGCAGAAAGACAATCCGCAAACCACTTGCCCCTACCGTCCGTGCGGCATCGACGAATTGTTCGTTCTTCAAACTGATAATTTGACCACGCACGACACGAGCCATCGTCAGCCAATAGACCGCCCCAATGACAATATACAGAATCACGATTCGACTGATGCCGTAGCTTTCCAGCCACTGCTTCATCTCGTCTTCGCTCAGAATCGTGATCAGAAAGAGGACCAGGAAAATGAAGGGCACCGAATACATGATGTCGACAATCCGCATCATGAAGTCATCGATCCATCCGCCAGAATAACCTGCAATGGCACCGTAGCTCACCCCAATGATCAACGAGACAAGCGTTGCGACCAAACCGACGATCAACGACACCCGAGCCCCGTAAAACAAGCGAGACAACAAATCGCGGCCGANNAAAGACTTGGCAAGCAATAATCCCCGAAGATGACCAGCCGCGTATTAAGCAGCAGCATGTCGAAGCCTGTCGGATCGGTCCACAGTTCGCCGACGCGACGCTCGAACTCTTCCCCTTCGAGATGACTCAAATGCAAACTGACAGGTACCGTTACCTTTTCGCCATCCTCGTTCGCTCGGATCGTGGTCGAAGAAAACTGCGGTGGCAAAGCGAATCGGTTGGCCAGGTCTTGCTCGCGCGGCGACTGCAGCGGGAACAGTGGCGTGAACGTGGCAGCCAACGCCAGCAGTACCAAAAAGGAGAGTGCCGTCATTGAAACCCAGTCGCGGCGGAGGCGTCGCCAGGCGTCTTGCCACAGCGAGATACCACGAATCGACTTCGCCTCGTTGTACATCGCCTGATACTTTTCGATCGGCGGCAACGCGGCGGCGTAGGGATCGTTCTTGTCGAGGGAATCCAAGGATCTAGGCCTTCGCAGCGAGGGATTACTTGTCCAACTTCACGCGTGGATCGATCAACCCATACGAGAGGTCGACCAGCGTGTTCATCGAGAACAACAGAAACGTATAGATCATCACTACGGCCAAACTGACCGGGTGGTCTTTCTGCTGAACCGCTTCAATGAAATGGCTTCCGAGTCCGGGGATAAAGAAGATGCGTTCCAGCACCAGCGACCCCGTCAAAATACCAGCCGTCGCAGGCCCCAGGAATGAAACCACCGGCAAAATGGCCCCTCGGAAAGCATGCTTCAAAACCACCGTGGCCGGCATCAAGCCTTTGGCGTAGGCCGTTCGGATATAGTCCTGCCCGAGCACTTCCAACATACCGGTTCGCGTTAGGCGAGAGATGTACGCGGCGAACGGAGCCGAAAGACAAAGCGACGGCAGTACCAAGTTGATGGGACGTCCCCATCCGGCTGCGGGAAACAAGTTCAACCCGAACACGAAAATCATGATCGCGAAGCCTGC